CTGCATTAGTATTGAACACAACTCCGGAAGCCAGCCTTCACAACAAATCGTCCTAATCACCGAGAAAAACAAGCTCCCGAAGCCGGGCCCACCAAGGGACGTGACCCGACGAGAGGGATTGTCATGAGGCGGTAATCTGACGTTGACCTTTATCTTTCCCAGGCTGTGACGGGATGTTTCCGTGCGATAATGGCCACTGTATCGACTACGCCTGGCTGTGCGATGGAGACAATGATTGTAAGGACAACAGCGACGAACGAGACTGTGAAGGTAATGCGTCATTTGCTCTAAACCCCATTGCCGGTGGGCGGACACGTCCGCAGAATGACAAGACCAGTACCGTCACGTTGCATGGGTTTTGTCAAGCCTGCGTCCCCCGTATCCATACATCTACTAGACATTCTAATCCTTTAGTACTGCTGATGTACGGGGTTTTTCTGGTATGTACTGGTATAATAAATAATAAAAACTGTTCTTCGCTGTAAATTAGCAGTAGATTAAATGTCTAAAGACCAAATGACACACAAAAAAGTCAGTAAATATCGGAAGTGTACATACAATATAGTCACTTGAAGTTTGTTCCAATCATGATGACTGAGGAATTGAGCTTGTACGGCCTTTTAAAAGTGGATTTTTGGAGATTCTCAAGCAAGTTTCCTAATTGCCCGCTTCGGGCATCTCTATTTGCATGTGTTTTATTTTTGCATTTCTGTGCTTTTTCCTGAGCTGACATCACTGGATGACGTCAGCTCAGAAAAAAATACAGACACGTAAAAATAAAATGTAGAGATGCAAATCGCCTGCGAGTACTGGCTTGTGCTGACTCTTCCAAGGCAGGGCATTAGTATTTTGAATGTAACAGAGAACCGTGCATATTTATTGTAAATGTGTCTGCTAGCCAGGTAATACTAGTTATGTCAATTACAATCAGCTAAGGTCATATTTTGGTGTCATGAGCACTTTAATCCGTCGTCGTTTGTCTCTTGCTAAGTCTCTAAGATATTTTAGTACGGCCTGGTTTGTACTGGTGTTGCCAGAACCTACATTATAATTTCACCATGCCTAATCTCCATGATTTCCACCCTTAGGCTGTCTTTACGGTACGCTCGATACGGCAGTCTTTATGTCCTTGGAAATGTGCTTATATCACGTCTTATATCTAGAACAAAACCGATGTTTGCCGCATTACAAATTAATGATCTTGTTTATTGGTTTGGATAACTTTAAGTTCTTGCCGTGCTTGCTGGAAGAATAGATATCGGGAGAAAAAGTGATAACTTATATTAGTATGAAAACGGAAAACTCAAAATTGTAAGAACTTGTCAGTCGCTATTGCCAAAGATACAAAAAGAGCAGATTCTTTGGTTGACTGCCACGCCATGCCGATCTTGATCATGACTGACCGTGACATCGTACATTCGATTCAAACAGAAGCAAAAACAGTGACCCTGTAATAATATAACGGACGTTCGGATTGATTTTCCACGGTATGGTATCATGAATATGCACGTCATTGATTAAAACCTTACGCCCGGCATCCCGCTTGCAGTTTGGGCAATTCTTCTTGTCCATAATCAATTTTTGCTATTTCTGCATCAACGTAAAATATTGATCTCCCAGCACTTGAGCTGGATGACAGCCAGATTTTTTCTGCTGGGAGGGGTCAAATGTGAGTAGGTCACGAGCCCCCAGGTATTTTAGTCCTGTCATATTTCAAACCGTAGAAATGTCATGTCGGCAAGTTTTAGTGCTCTCGCTGACTGCCCCCAACAGTAAAAGTATTCCTCGCGGGGTCTTTCTACTCTGCTGACATCAACATCGCGGTAAAAAGACAAATGTGATAATTACAAGCTGTAAGAATACAGTGCATAATGCCTGCACATCACGGCTGTAACAGCCCGATAGAACATTACCTCACGGGTGAACGACCGTGGAGTAATGTCCATCCAAAATGGGTTCTTTCTCTATGACCATCTCTTCTCTCCCATTGACCCATTAAATGGTACATTTATTATTACCAGGCTGTGGAGAGGGGCAGTTTCGCTGCAAGAACGGCATGTGTGTGTCTGTGTCCCGGCGATGTGACAAGTTTGATCACTGCGGAGATGGCTCGGATGAAGAGGACTGTGGAGGTACGGTCAAAAGCGCCACCATTCGCTGCAGTTCATTCCACACCTTACTAAGGCCATCTTGATTTGATTATATGGATGACATTGTTTGGGAACCTCAAAACTGATGCGTGCTTGCGAATAAAAAAGTTTACCGAAATATTTCCTTCATTATGAAATGCAGGTGGTCATGAAGGTTGAAAAAATGACTATGAACACACTTGCGTTTCTTCACATTTTCTTCCTGTCCTTTGGAATTAATTTTGATATCCTAGGACATAATAGTTTTGCCATTTTTTTTGCTTTGTACGTACGATTTACAGTACAGTCGAAACATTTTTTTAACCTACAAAAATTCATGTGCGCGATGATGATCCACATAATCAAATCAATATGGCAATCAACGTGAAAACAGTAACTGTTTCAAATACTGCTACAATTTAATAATTGGCTCTCTAGAGAACAAACGATCACATTTAGAGGCTTAAAATATCGATATGTTTGCCCTACAATTAAGCTCTTATTACTTTACCAATAGGACTGACTTATTCGCGCCATTATCTCGATACAATGGCTTCTACACTGTACACATTTGTGTTCCTTCCCAGACTGTACCGTGGACAGCTATCTTTGTGGGAACGGTTGGTGTATACAGAAGGACCGCGTATGTAATGGCATCAACGACTGTGGAGACAATAGTGACGAGATGAAATGCGTCGGTAAGTTTTTACCTATGATATTCTTAACCCTTGTCCTGCTGGACGTTTTTACGTAATTTATTTTATTAATTTCATTTCTTAATCAGGTCATTAACCCTTGACTTTTTTTGCCCTACTGTGGCATAGTTGTATCCGCATTCGGTGCGTTTCGCTGCGATGTGATGCGTTCATGTGAGAAATACTCCCAATTCGTAAATATACGGGGCCCGCATACAGGCACTGTATACTCGTATGTGTATAGATTGCCATTCTCGTATAGGACTGTTCAGCCATAGCAAACGCTGTAGGGCCGTTAACAAGAAGGGTTTTACAATTGTCAGTACTGACCAAAGGAGGCCATATATGATCACGGTAAGAGGACAGTTCACTCAAGATATCCCCTGACACTGCAAATACATATGTGTGGGATCGTGTGGCGTAGCGGCAGGGTGCGCGACTCGGAACCCTAGAGTCCAGGGTTCGAGTCCTGACATGCCACCGATCTTGTGCCCTTGGGAAAGGCACTTAACACGACTTTCCTCACTTAGCTCAGGTGTAAATGAGTATTGTCCTGTCATGTATTTGTCCCCTGTGTTGGTGGCGGCATTAATATAAGTTGACAAAACTTGAGTGTGTTGTCACCACGTCTATTGATTACATGTTGGAATAGAAAAAATTATATATGTAATATATAATTTTGTATACATTTGTATATAATAAATATGTGTAATGATATACGTAAATTTACTGCATGGGTACTAGCTTATTATCATTTCTGAACTCCATACAGATTCTGTTTCACTGGTGCTCAAGTAAAGAGCCATGGTGCTGCCAGTTGAATACTGAGCGGTCAACAGGGTCCCATTGTCGTGGACTGTTCCTTCAAATTTGAATTATTTTAATAATTTCAGTTATCAACTGAAAACGAAACACAGCACAGTTTGCATTCTTTACATAACCTGTGTTAGGTCTTTATTGAACCAACCTTGGAGGACACGTCCTCAAATGCACCTCCAATGGATTTAACGGATGTCTATATCTTCAGGGAAGCTCCAAGTCGTAATTTACATTAGCAGTAAAATCGGTCGGATTTATAGACTTTTGCTGGGCTAATGACGCATTGGTGGGGATACGTGTAATTGAAACTGTTGGTGTGAGATTTCACGAACTCCATTTGGTTCCTAGAATAACTCCAAGACTGTGAGATCAATACATTTTGTACTTAAGAAGACTTGAAATCACCAGTGTTAACTTCTATGTAGGCTGTATAACGTATGCTATTAAAACATTTCTAAAATGTCCTTTGATACCACCAAAACTAACACGACTGCTGGCCATGGCAGGTCAATAAATTAGGCTGAACCGTAACCGTGTCTATTTACACAGGTTATGTGGGGTATCACTGGATCCTTGTGCTTGTAAAACACTAAAGGCTTTTATCAAGATAAAAAATTCAAAGACCGTGTATGTCATTCTATGTACTTGGACCTAGAATAGGTCTCCAAACTACGCTACTGATAGGTCTAAAATTAGGCTGCATTTAATTTAGGCTTTAAAAAGTTCTATTTGCACTTCTGGGCCCGCACTCAAAGACTAGCAAAGACCAATGAAATCATTTTACAGAAAATAGAGTTACAAACGTTATCCCAAGATATGACATTGCTGTTGTACTGTAAAACGCAGCTTGAAGTCTATAAAATGGAAAGCAAAGAAGTTTCTAGGATATGCTAAAGTGAGCATCAGCAACCGAATCTTTGCTGATTGTTTCATTAGTTCTTTTAATTGTTTCTGTTCATTTCATGTTATTTTTGTCTTCTTTTTTTAAATTTCATCCAGTATCAATGGTAACTTTTAATCTTATAGTTTTGGGAAGGGCAATATATAAACCTCCCGATTTCTGGCCCTCCCATGCATGTCAACTTATCTTTAATTGTGATATTTCATTTTATATTGTGAGTGCAAAAAACAACAACAAATAAATAAACAATATTTTAGACTTAAAAACTTTTCGTGTTAGTCAGTTGATCCGTGTGAGTTATGTGAAACAGTCGTTTATTTGATGGTTTCCGCCCCGCCCTTGAAATTACACGGTACTTTTAATCAATTGCTTTTCGGTATACGTATCCCTGGGCGCAAATACATGTTTAAAAATCACCGTGACGGCTGCTAATTGTTAAAATTAGCTTTTTTGTCTTCGCATTGCTCTCCTGACAATCCACCGTAACCACAATTCGTTTTCTATTCAACTGGAAGATTGCCAATGTGCTTGCTTAGTTCCATGAGCCCCCATGACTTCTGCAAATCGAAAGTCAATATCGCCAGGTCTAAACTATACGACGGGAGGCACTTTGCAGATTTATATTTCTAACCTTGCCTTGTTTGAAATTACAAGCCTGCTATTGCATTTCATAGTCAATCAACATATGAACCAGAATATATGATATTAAACGTAATTCTGTGCAAGGAATTATTGCCATTATGGCACGAAACTTTCCTGGAATTCTCTAATTTTCAACTTGCACTTCCCAGAAACCATACATCAGTGTTAGAAAGCGTCAAGGTTATCCGTCAATTTGGGATGAAAATATCGAATGTTGTTGCTCGGAAAAACGTGACAAATTAGGAGAGTGGGCGCAGTCAATTAAGCAAGTAAGCGTTGTTCATTAGCCATGACCAAGCCTCATCTATAACGGCCGACCTAAGTACCAGACGGGAATAAAAACCTTAGCTCATGGCACGGTTGGTCAAAACATCTATAAGGAACTGTGCAGCAGTAATTATCTAACATCATGCAAGGGGAATACTCTGTCTCGGTTGAAACCCCATGCGAACATTAGCTTTTACCGTTACTGAAAAGGTTAATTCTAAGGATCAAGAAAACCATACTTGTGTTAAAGTGGTTTTGTGGGCTGGAGATGCCAGTGTCGATATAACCACTCTTGAGAAACACCGGAGACGCTTGATGAATTTGAAGTTTGCTGCTCTCTTCAGCCTACAAGTGTCATGGTGGGGAGGGGTTAAGTCAAGGCGTTATCTGGATGGCAAAACAGCATCTTGGAGACTGATAACCGCAAGGCTAAATGAAATTAAATGGTGTGTGCAAGACTGTAACTGACTGATATAAGGTGATATGAGATGTACGCATAGTCAGTTAACTTTGTTTTTTCAAGACGGCCTCGATTTTTTTTTTAAATTGCGTATTTTTGAAGAAAAAAATCCTCAACTAAAAGTAATGCGAGGATATGTTGAGCATAGTTCAAGCCACTGGTGGTGTGAATAGTCCATGTGAACACAACAGTCTTTAGACTTTAAAATGGTAATGCATTCTCTGCTTATTAGCACACATTAGCATTAATGGGAAGGGGTATGGTAGTGGGGGACACGCATGGCAGTACCAGTCCAATAGTCCCCTGTAGTATATACATGTAGTTCACAAAGTTTTGTGGTCCACCAAAAGCTATTGAAACGGAAATTGGTCTGTGCACCATCTGGTGCGAGATGGCCTTTGACTAATCTCACTCTGTCATGGAATTTCCTAGATATGATGTTTTCTGTAACAATCTATTCACATTTCTTATGTTAAGTACAACAGGTTTCAAGATACTTGATGTTACAGACAGAATATATTTTTATACGCAATTACCACATTACAATATAGTATTATGATATTGCTATAAAATACTGAGATTCATGATTAGCCTCCCTCGATTCTAACACTATATAAAGATTTACGCTAGCCCCTGTTGTTTTAGCAATAACGTTGGTACATGTATGTTTCATTCTATGCATCTTTTTGTACTATGTTCAATCGTTGTACATTCTTACACTTTGTACCATGCAATGTTAAAAGTTCTATTTTTGTACCTTGACAGGATGTGGTACGGACCCGTTCCTCTGTGATAATGGGGACTGTGCCTACAAGGCCTGGCTTTGTGACGGGGACAACGACTGTGGCGACAACAGTGACGAAATGAACTGTTGGGGTAAGCTTTAACTTATGATCTGCCTTATACATGAGACATTCTTGAGGATACTTTGTATGGACTAGTAGATACCTACTTACCATTGCAATCATGTGTGAGTATGGATGTGTGGGGGAGGCGATGAGTAATTTACTGGAATCTAATTTACAGGAATTCACAATTTGTTAACGAATTTGTCTCCTTACATGTGTTCACATCTGATAGGGTGTAACATGATTCATTTCAATTTAGGTGTTACTTGTAAATATATGCATCCCCTCTACCAAACTGCCCCACCCATATAACATTCAATAACTTCACGGTCCAAAGCTTTCTTGACATTTACTCATTTGTCCAGTCGGAATAGAGACTTGTTGTTGGGATCAAGCCGCCTTTGTCAATGAGATTAATGTTTCCATTATTCCATTCGTAAGTGCAAAGTTGGACCCTTTGAGGGATCTCTGTAGGCAATAAGAGTACAGGCTACATCATTCGTGTATCTGATTTTACCGCTACCAGCAGGACATATTGCTCATATATATGCCAAACCGCCTTTCCCTGTAATGTGTTGGTACTTTTTCTGCGTGATGTCATCTAATCATGTGGACTTTCAACCACCCGGGGCGCGGATCTGTGTTAAGCCTTTGGCAGGCAAATTGCGTAATGACGAATGCTTATGGGTAAAAACTTTTCCAAACAGACAGACGTAAAACTGTAGCGTCATTTTACAATAACCTTGGGAGAAAAGTAAGGTCGTTCACTCTCTAATAGCATAGTTGATAAATTTGACATTTTATTTATGGACTGTATGTTACAATGTACTGCTGCATTGGTTTCTTATATGTCACACACACACACGAATTTGGCCCCCTGAACACTAGCTGAAATCCCTTCAACTATAGTTAGGAGTAAGTCGGGAGCAAGGTCGGCTGGTGATCGCCATTTTGGCTACTGTTCCGCTGCGCCAAAATTATGTTTGAAAATGTTTTAAACAATTTGGTGTAGATGGTAGTTTCGGCCATGGTTGACTGGTGTTCCGGAGTTAAGGCGGGGGCATGGTTGGTATTCAAAATTGACCCAAATTCAACTCAAATTCGGTTTGATTTATATAAAATAAAGTGGTCAAAATCTGGTCAGACTGTCCCAGACTTCTGCCAACCTTGGTCCGTCAGTGTGTTCGGGGGAAGGTTCTGAATGTGTGGCAGGGGCCTTACTCTATTCAGATTCTATATCGAACAACCGATTCATGTATATTGGCATTAGTTGATTTCCGATCACATATCTGAATCAGTGGCCACATCAGATCATTCACTTCTGCGTGTACCGCGCATATTTATGTCAGCCAGTTTTGTCAAACGCTTCCGAATTCTTTTGATAGTCCGATGTCAACATCAGTATACAACCTAGCGGTCTGTGCAACTGCATTAGAGCAGATATTGACCTCCCTGACTCGACAAATTACCATGCTATAACCATGCCATTACCATACCATCCAAGTCTACAACTGGTGATAAGATTTTTTTCCCTCGCAACTAATGGTGCACAAAGAAATAAAACTCTCAATGGACCGTCACCAAAAAGTATGACCTGCAAGCCTCTACTCTAAGTGGAGCTGTGCCGGCAGCTCTTTCATAAGCTTATCAACGTGAATCCGACTTCCCGCTTCAGTCATAGGAGGAGAAATAATGACAGAACGTGCCCCGTGTGGTATTAAGTATGTTGTGATTTATACCTTGGCAGGTTGACGCAAATGGTCCGTGTGTGTGGTGAGGGATTAGGCTGATCTTACCAACTGATAAGACCTATAAGGTCGCCATTATATGTGCCCCATCTCACACCAGTCAACCCCAAGGTTAGACACTTTCTGACAGAGGCCAAACTTATCACGTGAGGGCTTGCTTTTAGCCCGATGGAAACCTTTATGAGTGCGATACCGATCATCAAAGTATTACAACCTGATGTACCGTGCTTTGGACAGATGGTTTTATAGGTCCGTAAAATAAGATTTTACATTCGGAAGGATCTGGACAACGGGAGACCGGTAACATGATTTGTCCGTATGCGGTGGTGGATAAGTACTTACATGGCTACATGGTAATGTGTAGGTTATTTGCCTTTGAGAACACAGGGTTTGTAAGCTGAAATGCAACATTTAAAAAAAATTAATCTCCAATCCAAGTTGTGACTTTTTTATGGATAAAATGTATAAAATATCTCTTTTTTATTATTGATCTATCAATAATAAGAGAAATTTTAGTTCAATGTTGAACTTTATTCCAATTAACACAAAGAGTACTGATGAAGGTGACAGTGGTCGTTGAAAATTTGATCCCTATGTACTCTTTGTGTTGAAATTAAGTTTAACATTGTTCGATGATTAGCACCAGCCACAAACACAGATGAATTTCCATGATAATTTGAGAAAAAGAGAATTTCTTCACTCCTGGCATGTATCCGAACCTGTTTCTGATTAAATGCCAAGCCCTTGATTTAAACCTCTAATAACCTGGTCTCCAAGGAAATGTGAGATGCCGAAATGACTTTTCAAAGGATAATGGTGACAGTCAAGGTTAAATATTCTGCTAATAGGAATTTCAGTTGGAAATTTCCATTCACATTCGACGCACGTTCTGGCGTCGCCCTGATGAATATGGTAGTCAAACTTCGTATACTTCAAAGAGGACACACTATTAAAATCGATTCCTAAGTTGTCAAAGAAATGACTATGATCTATTCGTAGCCTAAACAGCAAAATAACATTTCCAACCATATCAATATGGTTTCAGCAGATAACGTCAAGAAGAATGTGAAAATGCAGCGAAACCACAATTTTAATTAATACGGAAGCATAACGTAAAGTAATGAGAAATACGTAATTTTGTGAATGTCAATAATCTAAAAGTAGAATTCTAATAAGAGACGTCTTGCTTCAAGCTGAGCCCATTTCTTATTGTCAAATTTAGAGTATATGATGTAGGTAACTTAGAATGATGTTATTATTGCAAGAACGTGTGACATGAAAGATATAAGACGCATCAAAATACCCTCAAGAGATATTACTTTGAGCTCATAAGTATCATACGAAAGTATTATCTATGTTCCTTGTTATCAGATCTATTCTGTTCTCTTCTTCGTATAAGCTTCTACGTACTTTACATTACTCATTAGTTGTAGTAGATGTCAGGAAGAGGTTGCTGTATAATAAACTCAACACGGCCATCTGTGTACTGTTGTCATCATTATATTATATTGCATAGGTTTTATAGATATTATATTGCCCCGGTACTGTAAACAAAATGTGACTACACATTTTGGTACTGTACAATAATGACAGACATTGATACTTTTTTTCCATACAAAAAAAAATAACAAAATAACATTTCTATAGTTAGTGCCATTGTTTCGTACATAATGTAAGTTCTGATAAGCATTGCCAACCTGATGTCCGTGAAGTATGTTCCAACCATACATTTATCATACATACATACATATATA